ACTGGAGAACTGCTCTAGGAGAGACCTAAAATGGAAAAAACCACGTACCTTTCCTGGCTGAAGCATTTCTTCAAGGACCTGCAACCAGTTGTAGGCGACATCACAAAGGAAAGTCGCGACTCCACAGTTGGGCCGGGCTACCGTATCGACTTGTACTTGGCTGCCTTCATCAATTATTTCATCTCCTTTTTTTGTTCTACCTAGTAACCCTGCCAAAAGCATTAATCCTCTGGTGTTTCCTTTGGCTGTCAAGCTCTACAGTGGTAGTCAGATTCCTCTGGGCCCTCTCTTTTTGGGGAACCTATACTTCCGCCTTGATCTCATCTATTTGGACATGGAGCGATCCATGGACCGCTATTATGTATGGAGCTTCGTACACACTCAGTTCCTAACTGCTTTTTTCTATGAGAGATTCCCTGTCATGGGCCCTATTCCTAAAGAGCATGAGTCCTTCGTCACCGATGAAGTCTTTGATACGGAGGGCCACCCTGTTCTAGATATAGAGGGTTGACCTGTCACGAGGCAACTGTGTTAATCCCTCCCTCGCATCTCTCGGTGGTCTAGCCTTGGCACTAACAGACCATTCGCAGACTACGTTGACCGCATGGAGGAGTGCATGTTCCACCCTTTCACTTAGCTTCTTCCAGGCATTTCTGTTGTCCCATTTTATTTTTCAGAGGCCCGTCACGTTGATTTTTCTCTCGACAGTGTCCAGGCTAACTCCCTTCTTATTGCTACTATGATACGCCTCAGATTTCTACCCGCGTGGAACGAAGAGGGCATGTCCAGCATCGTCTATCGACTGGATAGGGCCCTTAGGCAGTTCAGAATGGATCAAGGCATCCCACATGCCCCTCCGCCTCAGACTGATTTCCACCAGAGTTTTTAGCGGTTTGCCTGTGACTATACCGCTCTATTTGTGGAGGGCTTAGGCTTCATGAAGCTTCCTTCACTTGGGAGAGAGGGCGCCTTTACTCCTAATAACAAGTTGTTCTGGCATCGCAACCTCAATTCTTTCTTCAATTTTTACAACAGTGCTCCGGTTGTCCCTGCGATGGAACCTATCCCGCAGCTTGACTTATCTCTTCGTTTGCCTTCTGGCCGAGGGAACAATCCAGTATATTCTACTGCTTTAAGCTTCTATCCCTACCCATCGCAGAGTAGCCTCATTCGTCTGGGGCAATGTCTGTTCAGCCCTTACAAATTGCTCCCTCTCAAGTAGGCATAATTGTACACATGACCCGCTCTCGACTGAGAACAGCCCAAGCAATTGTGGCATCAGTTGCTAAGGCACATGCCTCACCAAGTAGGAAGAGACTCTGAAAGGTATTCATACTTCAAAAATATTTTTGTATTACTTCTTTGGGCTTCTTATATTTACTTTAGTAATCGCATAATCTTCTTCCTTTTTAGGGCCCATTGACCGTACCACCTTCAGGCCCCGGAGGTTCTTCTACTGCCATTGGCATTTCCTCAGATTCGGACGACGACGACAACCTTCCCATTGTTGCAAGGGTCACAAGATTCAGGACCCGTAGGATAGTACTTCCAGATGTTGAAGAGGAACCAAGTGTTAGAGCCGAACCAACTACCGAGGCCAAGCCAGCTGCCGAGGCTGAGCTAGTCGTGGAGGTTGTAGACAATGTACAAGTTCCCCCTACTGTAGAGGTTGAAATGGGTGTTATAGTTACTGAGGGTTCAGCGCCTCCAAACCCCGCTAATTCTGTGCACTTCGATCGTTCCTCTATCGGCGAAGATGATTTTGTCCCTGAGACCCCAAGGGAAGATCACAGCGTGAGAAAGTCGTTAGAAGTTGCACCACCTATTTTTGGAGCTATATCTGGCAGTTCCTCCCAGTCCACTAAGTCTCTATCGGTTCAACAGACTCCACTTCCAAACGTCCTATTGGCTGAGGAGAGTGTAAGTGTAGCAGCTGCTTCCACTGTTCTTGTTGTGCCCCCTCTAAATTTGGACCGACTTGCAGAGGTAACTGTCACTTTAGCCGCCCACATTGTTACCGCTGCCGCTGGGACCTCTGACCTAGTTGTTTCGGCAACCTCTGAATAGTTGGCAGACTTATACCCCACTCATTTTCTAGAGGTGCCAGCTGACTTTGGGGTGTCTCAAGATTTTTACACTGGGATGGATACCACTGCTGTTCCAGATTTGAACGTTGGAGACTACCAGATGGATGACCTCTTTTCAGAGCGACATAATGGTGCATGTAGTTTTGGTTTTTCTCGCGAGACCAGTTTACCCGGTCGCCAGCCAGTATCTACCCACTCTAATGCTGTTGGGCAGTCATCTTCAGGGGAAGTTTACCACCTTCAGACCTTTGGTTGCTCTGCCAGTCTTCCTCCAATGATCGAAGCTGGCGGCGGCGTGAGAGAGCCACCTCAGTCCTCAAAGAAAGTATCATTTCTAAGTTATTGGGTCTTCTCCGAAGCTGCTCCCACTCTTGCTCCTATCCAGGCCCTGCATCCGAACACCTTTACTACCTTTAATGTTCTTGGATCTATAGTGTAGACGGTGCTGCTAGAGTCACTTGCCAGCTTAATTCATGACCTTGCTACCAAGTAGATCCTGACGACTCTCAGCAAGTTCGTGGAAAGTGCTGAGGCCAACCTGAGTGGCTTTGAGAGGAACGGTTTGGACCTATCATGGATGAGGGATAAGCTTCAGGCAGTTGATGGTTTTCTTGAGCACGCAGACAATGTGGCGATGATTGCGTCCTTCGAGGAGACTATCAAGGGGTGTGAGGGTGCCTTGGAGCAGACTATCAAAGAGAAGGATTTTGCGTTGGTTGCCCAGCTGCCTCGAGATATGACCTTGATAGACTCCCTTTTGAAGGGTTTGATTTGATTTGATGTAACTCTATTATGATTTCCTTTATTCCTTTTCTTTATTTTGTTGTTTGATTGTGCTTGCGACGCCTTTTCTTTTCTTCTTCTCTGTCATAACTTCTTTTCAAACATTGTAATCATGTTCTGAAAGTTTGACTTTAATGAAAAGTATGGATGTTTCGTAGTACTTTGAATTTCATTTCTTCACCCTCTTTACATTGCTTTTGTACAATTTCTAAAGATAAGAAAAACTCTTGCAATGAACAAAACTTCATCATGACTAAGCTTTTACAAGGATAAAATTTCACTAAGTATGGAAAACTTTCCTCACACTAAGTGTATATGAGAGTAAAAGGCTTACTAAGTGTATGACACTTTCTTTACACTTTGCTTTGGAAGTATTAACAAAGAAACTTTACAACTCTTTTTCCTGAACAAGAGAAATTAAGGAAAATATTCTTTGACATACTTGGCGTTGATAGGGCCAGTTCTGAACCCATCATCTACTCTTGTCAACTTATAGTACCCGCTGCTACTTGCCTCAGCAACTTTGTAGGGGTCTTCCTATCTGGGTGATAACTTGAGAATTGGCTGCCACTGCATGATTGCATCCACTGTTTTCCATACCAAGTCCCCCTCCTTGAACTTTCTGTGTTGAATAGATTGATTGTAGGCACGAGCTATGGATTGATGATACTTTTCCATTGCCCGCGAGGCCCGATCTCTTCTTTCTTCATCTGCCTCTATGTCATTCTTCCTGTTGTCTGGAACTAAGAGTGCTGACATAGCCATTCTTGCTGAGGGTACTGCCAACTCAACTGGTAACTCAACTTCGGACCCATATACTAGGGGAAATAGGGTTGCCTGAGTTGGCTTTCTCTTTGACGTTCTATATGCCCAGAGTTCTACGGGGAGTTGTTCAGACCAACTGCCCTTTGTTTCGTCCATCATTTTACTCAGTATTCGGATTAGGATTTTGTTGGTCGCCTCAGCTTGTCCGTTCCCTTGAGGGCAGTATGGACTAGACTTGTGGTGCTTAATCTTGTAGGCATCCAGCAGTCTTCCCACATGGAGATTTACAAAGGGAGTTCCATTATTAGACAACATTACTTTGGGTAAGCCAAACCTATAGATTATGTTTTCTCTGATGAAGTTGGTTACTCCTGCCCCGTCTACCTTCCTCATCGGAATAGCCTCTACCCACTTGGTGCTAACTTCAGTTGCTGCAAGTATCCATCTGTGGCCTTTGGATTGCTATGCTATAGGACCTACCAGGTCAAATGCCTAAGTATGGAACGGGTAAGGAGTCTTGATGTTATGTAGTTCAACTGCCAGTGCATATATCAGGTTCCCAAACTTCTGGCAGGATTGGCATCTCCTTACAAAGTTTTTAGCATCTTTTTCCATTGTCGGCCAGTAGTAGCTGAGGTGAATGAGATGTCCATATAATTGCTGCCCTCCTTGATGCTCTGTCTTGTGGGCTTTCCTCAGTACCTCATTTGCCTCATCTTTTAATAAGCACGCCAAAGGTTCCCCTTCGAAGCTTCTTCAGTACAGCTTGCCTTGGTCAAGGAAGAAGCGGAGGGCTCGCCTCTTAACTTTGATTGCATCGGCTTTATTCTCAGGTAGCGTGCCATTTCCAAGGTAGTCAATATATGGCTGCCTTCATTCTTCACTACTTAAGAAATGGGCTTCATCTTCCTTAGGATAGGACTGACACTTTGCACATTGCCGCTGCAACTCAATACTTTCCTTTTCCATCTCTGGCTAGTAATACTCTTGCCTTTGTATCCGTTGGTATAGACTGATATCTCCATCTCTACAAGACTTGACATGGATCTGCTTAAGTCTGTAAGCTGTTTCTTGTCTACCGACGCACCTTGCCAGCAAGTTGTTGGGACCGCGAAAATATAACTCTCCTCTGAGGAGCAGAAATAATGCAAGTTCTGCTGGTTTGATTGTTCCTTGACCTATTTTCAACTGTTAGATTATATCTACTTTCCACCCCTCAGCATCTTGCTCCATATGTTCTTTGACTAGCACTGTTAGTGTTGTTCTTTTCTCGATGACGATGGCTATACTATCATCTGGTATCTCCACCTTTGCCCCCAGTATAGCCAAGGCATTGGGGAAACGGTTTTGTGTTCGAGGAGTATGCTAGATTTGGACATCATTAAACTGAGTGAGCAACCTTTGAACTATAGTGCGATATGGGGCCAACAGAGGCTCATTCAAGGCGAAATCACCCATTGTTTGCTTAACAATTAACTTGGAGTCGCCCCAAATTTTTAACTTGCGGAGGCCCTTCTTTTGGGCAGCTATTAGACCCAGTATTAACGCCTCATATTCAGCCTCATTGTTTGAACATTCAAAATCAAGCTTATATGATAGATAAAACATCTCTCCTTCTTGACTGGTTAGTGTCACGCCAGCTCCACCTTTCTTAGCTCCGGAAGCTCCATCAAATTTTAAGTTCCAATAAGTCTCAATTGCAGTTGTTGATACATGGACCTCATCTAGTAGAGGTACCTCGGCAGGTTCATGTTCGCCAGATAGGAATTGGGTCAGTAAGTCTGCAAGTGCTTGGTTCTTAATAGCCTTGGGAGTAACATAAGTGATGTCATATTCTGCTGGAGCCAAGAGCCATCTTGCCATTCTTCCAGTCAGAGCGGGCTTGCTCAGCAAGTAGCGGATTGGATCACTCCGGGTCACAACCTGAATCGGGTGTGCCAAAAAGTAGTGGTGCAACTTATGCTCTGTGAAGATTAAGGCTAAACAATACCTCTCAATTGGAGTATATCGCGACTCGACATCATTGACTTTGCAACAGATGTAGTAGACTGGTTTCTCAATGTCATCTATGTCTTGGACAAGTAGAGCTCCAATAGACCGAGGAGTAGAGGTTAGGTACAGTAGCAGAGGCTTTTCGGGCTGTGGGGCAATCATTGTAAGCGGAGAGGTAAGTGTTTTCTTCACCATATCAAATGTCTGTTGGTATTCTTGCAACTATTCAAACTTGTGATTCCCTTTCAGCAGTGTCCCAAAGGAAAAAGTTATCTCAGCAATGGTTGGAATAAACCTCCTGAGGTATGACACTTTGCCTAGGAATTTCATTAAGGCCTTTTGAGAGTGTCACGACCTAAACCCACCCCTATAGGTTTAGTGCCATAGCCGGCCAATAATCCGCGATTACCGAAGGCCTAACTGAACAAAGCAAATAAACGAGACTAGCGTAAGTTATTATGGAAGAAAACAAAACGTCTAGTAAGCTGTGAATTTACATGAGACAAAAGACATTGCTATATATATACACATATATACATGCAAAAGTACAACGCGCTATTACAAGTTTGTCTAAAAAGACAATCAAAAGGGAAAAGTAACTCCTATCGATAACACTTATAATGCTAGTGACAACCGACTAAAAACACATGAGTGAGTTACAAAAGGGTGAACACTGGCCACTTTAGAACTTACGTAGATGGGAACCTCATGGTGAGGCTCGGTGGTTAGCTTGACAAAACCAGAGCAAGACTGACGCCACTACGTCCTTTCCTGAGCTGGATCACTTACATGATATGCCAAAAGGTGAGCTAGGGCCCAGTGAATAATAACTGAATAAAGAGATTTTGAATGATAATTATAACGTAAAATACAACACCAGTTGAGTAGGTTCATACGGCGTTTAAGAAGCATAACATTTCACGTATATTCAAAAACAATAAATACAGGCGGTCTGGAAGACCGAACAGACGGTCATGAAGACCGGACAGGCGGTCAGGAAGACCGAACAGACGGTCATGAAGACTGAAGATCAGAGATAATAGCTATTGCCATATTAAACAGGAGTTCCATGAAATGGAACTGACAGAATTGTACTCATATGAAGAGGTGCCAGGGCTGTCATAATAAATAATGAAAACTGAGATAGAATTATCATTCATTCACATAAGAAACATATTAGCGTAACGCATAAGTTGAATCAGAGAAAAGATAATTTAAATCATATATATTTTTACAGCAGTATTACTCACAGTGGGTTTCGTGATGCAGGTGACTGGAACTTCGTGTTTGACCTACACAGACAAATATAAACATAGAATGCTTAACTGTCATACATTCAACTTATTGGTTCCTTTACTTAGGAATCAAGTAGCCTAAATGTTGTTAACTCCTGCTAAATGTTCATGCAATGCACATGGACAGTAATTACAGGTATAAAACATGCTAACAGAGGCTCGGAAATGGGGTAAACAAACCAGAAAGTGAAATCAGAATCGCTAGACAGCCACATGTGCGGAGCCCCTTGACCGCACGTGCGGGACTCCAGCCGCACGTGCGCCACTAGGTGCTTTTATTTCAAAATGCTTCCAGCACCTCCCCTATTTTCCGCACGTGCGAGCCTACTTGCCACACGTACGCCCGTGTTTTCTGCACGTGCGGGCTCTGGGTCTTCCATAACCAAAATTTTGCTTTGTTTTTGGGGTTCCAAATTCCTCCAAATCAAGCCCAAATTCACTCAAATTAAAGGCCAAAACTTAACAAACATGATGTACAAACAATTTCCAAGTTCAACTAAAAAATAGGGCTTCAAATTCAAACTCAAGTTCTGCAATCTCATTAACAAGTTCAAAACTAGATGGAAACTCTATGTTTCAACAAAATTATGGATATCTAACTTAAAGTCAATCAAGATCAAATAGATGAGCTTTATTTATATCAAGATTTGAAGAATTCCTCTTATTAGGGTTTGTAACACAATTTGTTCTACCTAAGCCTGTCATTTCTCTTTATAGTCCATGAATTCAAGGTGGAAATTAGTTCTTATGTAAGAGATTAGAAAGAATTTGTACCTCCAGGAGTTAGTTTAGTCAAGTTGCCTCAAGATCTCCTTTACCTTCTTCATTTAACTTCTTGTTCCCTAGAACTCTCTCTCACACTCTCTTTTCTCTCACTCTTTGAGTTCAACATAAATATATATATATATATAGAAAGATATAAGCATATATATCTAACTTAATTAATTTAATTAAATTAGAAATACACCCATCAAATGTTAACTTAACCCTTCCTTTTCCAATTATGGTGAATTAGGCTCTAATCGCCTAGTCCACTAGTTACTACATAGCCTTACGATTTAATGAATCAGACAGGTCCTTTTCATAAAAGAGCATATCTGTTAACAAACATGACGTATATAAATAAGCATATAAAGCACATATAAAGACATAATTAAAATTAACCATAAAAGTTACAAGTAGGTGAGAGGCAGATGTTACAGTCTCTCCCCCTTAGGACGTTTGGTCCTCCAAACTCAAGTACCTTCTTCAGTGGAGAGTGTAGGATCTAATGGAAAAAGTTCAGGATATCTCTCTTGCATCTCAATTTCTCGTTCCCAAGTTGCATACAAGCCACTGTGGTTCTGTCAATCCACCTTTACCAATGAAATTTCTTTATTTCTCACACGTAGCCCCATACAAATAGTGGCGCCAAATCTTCAATGCAAAAATCATTGTATCCAATTCCAAATCATGAGTCGCGTAACTCTTTTCATGCGGCCTCAACTGACGAGACACATAGGCAATCACTCTTCCGTTTGCATCAACACGCACCCTAAACCTTTATAGGAAGCATCACTGTAAATGGTAAAGCTATCCATGCCAGAGGGTAAGGTGAGAATCAGTGCTGTCATGAGTTTTGTCTTTAATTCTTGGAAAGCTGCCTCTTTTTGATAAGTCCATTCGAACGGTATCCCCTTTTGCGTCAATTGAGTGTGTGGAAAAGCAACCTTGGAAAAGTCCTTCACAAATCTGCGATAATATCTAGCCAGGCCCAAGAAACTACGACCTTCTGTCACATTCGTTGGTCTTGGCCAGTTTACAATAGCCTCTACCTTTTGTGGATCGACAGAAATACCCCATTTTGTTGTCACATGCCCTAGAAATGTCACACTATCTAGCCAAAATTCACATTTCGACAACTTCGCATATAGTTTCTTCTCTCTCAATATTTGAAAAGTAAGTCTCAAGTGGTGTTCGTGCTCCTCCTTGCTTTTAGAATAAATCAGAATGTCATCGATAAAGACCACAATGAACTCATCAAGAAATGGCTTAAATACTCTATTCATTAGATCCATAAAAGCAACTGGTGCATTTGTAACCCCAAAAGGCATAATGAGGAATTCATAATGATCGTATCTTGTTCAGAAGGCAGTTTTCTCCACATCTTCAGCTTTCACTTTTAGCTGATGATATCCAGATTGTAAGTCAATTTGTGAAAATACTTGTGCCCCCTTGTAGTTGGTCAAACAAATCATCAATACGTGGCAACGGGTACTTTTTTTTTATTGTCACCTTATTCAATTCCCGATAGTCAATACAGAGCCTTAAAGTTCCATCATTCTTTTCGACAAATAGCACTGGAGCACCCCACAGAGGTGTATTGGGCCTGATAAATTTCTTGGTCAGCAATTCTTGTAATTGAGTTTTCAGCTCTTTTAATTCAATAGTCGACATCCGGTATGGAGTCTTAGAAATCGGTTGGGTACCTGGTACGATCTCAATTGTGAACTCGATTTCTCTATCAATCAAATTCCCAGGTAAATCATCTAGAAACACATCTGGAAATTCTTTCACCACAGGAATACTACTTACATCTGGTTTAGCAGTAGTTGACACTACTAGCACCGAACATAGGAATCCCTTGCACCCCTTATTAATTAGTTTATTTGCCTTCATGGAGGAAATCAACTACAGTGGAGGTATGACACTATCCCCACTAAATGTAAATTCAGGCCTTTCAGGTAAATGAAACACAACTTGTTTTGGTTGAGCAATCGATTGTAGCACAATATTTGGATAACCAATTCATCCCCAAAATTACATCAAAATATGCAATATCTAAAGGTAACAAATCCACATACAAATTCATGTCTCCAACAAGAATCTCACACACAGGATACATAGATGCACAAATCATAGTTCCTTCCGTCGGAGAGGTTACAACTAACACATAGTCCATTGGTTTCAAGGGTCTAAGTAGTTTTGGAGCAAAAGTATAGGATACGAAAGAATGTGTAGACCCCGAATCAATTAATACATGTGCATTCAGAGAACAGATAGGAAGAATACCTGACACAACCGTCTCTGTAGTCTGCACATCACCCGGTACCAATGCAAAAACCCGTCCTTGCTTTAGTGTTTCTTTTCCCGTAGCTACTTTTGAATTTACCATTGATACTGACACTGATGCAGTTGAGTTAGCCCTAGATTGGCTTGTGCTTTGTGACAGTAAGGGACAATACTTAATCATATGGCCTATTTTTCCACAATGAAAACATGCACCAGAAATTCTACGACAAACTCCCTTATGTCTTTTTCCACACTCTGGGCAAATGGGTGTATCAGTTCCCTAGCTTGAGCTAGTAGATAATCTTGTATTCTGACTTTTGTTCGGTGGAGTGTTGAAGTTGTTCCGATCCTTCTTGAAATTAGATCACAGCCTTTTACCCTTCCAATCAATCACTGGTGCCTTCACTTGCTTTAGTATGGCAACATTCGCCTCAGCTATGATGGATATATCCAAAACATCAACATATTTTTCTAATTTGAGTACATTAACTCGATCAAGAACCTCAACATCCAAACCGCCTTCAAACTTTCTGGTTTTTTTATACTCAGTGTCTACCATATGTGGCGCGTAGCGTACAAGCTCTATGAACTTAGCTTCATATTCCGCTACTATCATAGTACCTTGCTTCAACTGCTCAAATTCTGTTACCTTGTGGTCTCTCACACACTGTGGAAAATATTTCTCATAAAACACTTCTTTAAACTGTGCCTAAGCCATAGCGGTTTACTGATTTCGAACAAGCATCCACCATCTTCTTGTTTCCTCTTGTAAGGTAAAAGTTGCTAACATAACCTTCTGTTCTTCAATACATGGAAATACTTTGAATAACTTTTCAATTTCCAGAATCCAAGCTTCAGCTTTGAGCAGTTCAAGGCCTCCTGGAAAAGTAGGCGGTTTCAGTTTGTTAAACTTCTGTGTCAGGGTAATAACGTCACCATTGTTAGGTGGCTCCACTAGAATCGGTGGCAGAGGTAGAGGTGGAAAGGGCTATCTCTGTTGTTGTCTTAATGCTTCCATCAACAACTCCACCATTCGCTCTAACCGATCCATTCTCATGTCAGAAGTTTCAGATGTCTCTTCAGATCTTGTTCCTTCCATTGGGCTATAGATATAAACAGAGTGATAATAAACATAGGACAAATAAGATTTATACATGCATTATCACCACATAGACACATCAGATAAACCACACACACTCACACATACAGCTAATATGCCATAATTTCTCTTCTAGAACATCCTATAGCTCATTTGGACTCGTGTGCATGGTACAACTCGTGCTCTGATACCACTCTGTCACAACCCAAATCTCCTATAGGTTTTATACTATAACCGGCCAGTAATCCGCGATTACCGAAAGCCTAACTGAACAAAGCAAATAAACGAGGCTAGCGGAAGCTATTATGCACAAAAACAAAACGTCCAATAAGCTGTGAATTTACATGAGACAAAAGACATTGCTATATATATACACATATATACATGCAAAAGTACAACGCGCTATTACAAGTTTGTCTAAAAAGACAATCAAAAGGGAAAAATTACTCCCATCGATAACACTTATAATGCTAGTGACAACCGACCAAAAACACATGAGTGAGTTACAAAAGGGTGAACACTGGCCACTTTAGAACTGAGGTAGATCGGAACCTCACAGTGAGGCCCAGTGGTTAGCTTGACAAAACCAGAGCAAGACCGACGCCACTACGTCCTTTCCTGAGATGGATCACCTATATGATATGCCAAAAGGTGAGCTAGGGCCTAGTGAATAACAATTGAATAAAGAGATTTTGAATGATATTATAACGTAAAATACAACACCAGCTGAGCAGGTTCATACGGCGTTTAAGAAAGCATAACATTTCGCGTAGTACATTCAAAAACAATAAATACAGGCAGTGTGGAAGACCGAACAGACGGTCATGAAGACTGGACATGAGGTCAGGAAGACTGAACAGACGGTCATGAAGACCGAAGATTAGAGATGATAGCTATTGCCATATTAAATAGGAGTTCCATAAAATGGAACTGATAGAACTATACTTATATGAAGAGGTGCCAGGGTCGTCATAATAAATAATGAAAACTAAAATAGAATTATCATTCATCCACATAAGAAACATATCAGCGTAACGCATAAGTTGAATCAGAGAAAAGATAATTTAAATCATATATATTTTTACAGCAGTGTTACTCACAGTGGGTTTCGTAATGCAGGTGACTGGAACTTGGTGTTTGACCTACACAAACAAATATAAATGTAGAATGCTCAAGTGTCATACATTCAACTTATTGGTTCCTTTACTTAGGAATTGAGTAGCCTAAATGTTGTTAACCCCTGCTAAATGTTCATGCAATGCATATGGATAGTAATTATGGGTATAAAACATGCTAACGGAGGCCTAGGAATGGGGTAAACAAAACAAAAAAGTGAAACCGAAGTCGCCAGACAGCCACACGTGCAAAGCCTCTTGGCCGCACGTGCGCCACCAAGTGCTTTTATTTCAGAATGCTTCTAGCACCTCCCCTGTTTTCCGCACGTGTGGGCCTACTTGCCGCACGTGTGCCTGTGTTTCCCGCACGTGTGGGCTACCCAGCCGCACATGTGGTTCTAGGTCTTCCAGAATTGAATTTTTGCTCTGTTTTTTGGGTTCAAAATTCCTCCAAATCAAACCCAAATTCACTCAAATTAAAGGCCAAAACTTAACAAACATGATGTACAAACAATTTCCAAGTTCAACTCAAAAGTAGGGCTTCAAATTCAAACTCAAGTTCTACAATCTCATTGACAAGTTCAAAACTAGATGGAAACTCTATGTTTCAACAAAATTATGGACATCTAACTTAAAGTCAAGCAAGATCAAATAGATGAGCTTTATTTATATCAAGATTTGAAGAATTCCTCTTATTAGGGTTTGTAACACAATTTGTTCTACCTAAGCCTCTCATTTCTCTTTATAGTCCATGAATTCAAGGTGGAAATTAGTTCTTATGCAAGAGATTAGAAAGAATTTGTACCTTCAGGAGTTAGTTTAGTCAAGTTGCGTCATGATCTCCTTTACCTCCTTCACTTATCTTCTTGTTCCCTAGAACTCTCTCTTACACTCTCTTTTCTCTCTCTCTTTGAGTTCAACATAAATGTATATATAAAGAAAAAGGTATAAGCATCTATATCTAATTTACTTAATTAATTTAATTAAATTAGAAATACACCCATCAGATGTTAACTGAACTTTTCATTTTCCAATTATGGGGAATTAGGCTCTAATCACCTAGTCTACTAGTTACCACATAACCTTCCGATTTAACAAATCAGACAGGTTTTTTTTCATAAAAGAGCATATCTGTTAACAAACATGGCGCATATAAATAAAATATAAAGCACAGATAAAGTCATAATTAAAATTAACCATAAAAGTAACAAGTAGGTGAAAGGCACGTGTCACAGAGAGTATGGCAGTGGCATCTCCATGATTGACTTGATCTTATCCCCATTTACTTCGATCCCTCGCTGGTGTACAAGAAAGCCAAGAAACTTACTGGCAGTAACTCCAAAGGCACACTTGAGAGGGTTCATCTTGAGGCAGAATTTGTGGCAATGCTGAAAAACTTTTTCCAAGTTGCAGAGGTGACAGTTTGCCCAGTAGACTTGACCACCAGATTATCTACATATATTTCCACTTCATGATGCAACATGCCACGGAACACTGTAGTCATAGCTCGTTAGTAGGTTGTCCCTGCGTTTTTTAAATCGAAGGGCATCACCGTATAGAAAAAATTTCCCAAGGGCATTCTGAAAGTCGTCTTTTCTGCGTCTTCTGGTGCCATTTTGATCTGGTTATAACCATTGAACCTATCCATGAAGGAGAACATCTGAAGGCTCGCAGTAGAATCGATAAGTATGTCAACATGGGGCAACGAAAATTTATATTTCGGGCAGGCCTTATTCAGGTCGCGAAAGTCTACGCAGATCCTGATCTGACCATTCTTCTTCTGCATAGGCACAATATTTGCTAGCCAAGTTGGGTACTGTATAGGCTCAATGAACTTAGCCTTCTGTAACTTTTTATACCTCTGCCTTAATCTTTGCTTCAAGATCAGGGTGATACTTTTGAGCGTGCTGCTTGATTGGTTTAGAGTTGGGAAAAATGTCTAGATGGTGAGTGACAAGGGATGGGTCAAGACCAGGCATCTCGTCATATGTTCAAGTAAAGACATCACTGTATTATTTTAGTAGTGTTATCAATTTTGCCTTAGCTGTCGGAGCCATTGTATCACTGATAAACACCGGCTTGCTCTGCCTAGGTAAGTCACTGAGGTTGACCTCAGCAAGTACCTCTTGCTGGTATTTAGGCCTATCTTGCATGCATTTAGAGGCAGACTCAAGCGTCTCTACTAAACCTTTTTGGGACCCACTACCGTCACATTTATTTTTCTCGGGACCATTCTTCCAAGGTATGAAGTCTGGCCCCTAAGACCGTCATAGGTAGTAAACTGTCTTGCCGCCCTCGCGCACCTTAACAATCTTGGGCGGAGGACTTGTGGATTTGCTGCTCTTTTTCTGTCCACTACTTTCTGGAGCAGCCTCTACATCTCAAATGTCTTCCCACTTCAGCAACTTTACCCTTGCAATTTTACCAGTCCTTGGAGTTTCATCCATTGACAGCTCAGTAAAGAAAACTGCATCCGAATAGTGTGCCTCTTCCACTCTGAATGGCTTTTCAAAAGCATTTATGGTCACTGTGCACTTTTCCAACTTTGCTTTCACGCATTGGTGATAACTGGATGGGATAGCTCCATATCGGTGCATCCAAGCTCTGCCAAGTATCATATGGTAATTTGTGTCTGCATCGATCACATGAAACTTAGTGGCGAAGCAGATCTCGCCAACTGCTAAGTCCACGACAACATGGCCCCTTGTAACTTTTTTCTCACCACCAAAACCTATTACAGTGATGGGCTGGCGAGCCATCCTGGACTTTGGGATACCAGCCCTTGCAAAAGTGTCAGTAGTGATGATGTTTATGGACGCCCCACCATCAAGGAAAGCACATTTGAACTCTACATCATTAATGTAAGCTGTGACAAAAAGTGGACGGTTATGAGGAAATGGGTATGCTTTGTCTGCTTCTGAAAAAGTAATGGCCCCATAATCTTCCTGGATGCGCCGAAGCACATACTCCTTAGCCTCAGCAACTTCCGCATGATGTACTTTAGAAATGTTAATGAGGGCCTTTGTTGCTTCCAACCTGCCAGCTTGGCTTAGGCCCAGCTGGTCAAAGAAGGTATGAAACTTACGAGAGTTTTGCAAGGCCTGAGCATGAGTATCTTCTACGAATTTTTCCTCTGCAGGTACTGTCTTAAGGAGCTGGCCGCTAGCAATTTCTTCTAACTCATCATAGTAGGACGCCATATGCACTTGATCGAGCACAAGCCGAAGATAGCCAATCATGTGTACATTCTTCTCATTCTCTTTGTGGTTAAGATAAGGGTCCTTCCTTACATCGTGATTACCGACATCTTTGAACTTCAGCTCATTTGCGTCAACTTTCTCTTTGAAGATACTTTTCAAAGTCCAACAGTTCTTAGTAAAGTGCCTGGTGGTTCTATGATAGACACAATAATCCGGGCTTTCTTTGTCCTTCTTGGTTGGAGTGACATCAACTGGAGGCAAAGTAAGTTCACCATCAGCGACCCATTCTTTAGCCAAGGTCTTAACATTCTCAAGGCTACGGGGATATGAATTTTTGTCCTCATAACTCTTTCTCTTCCGAGAGGATGATGCCTCCGCTTGCAAGCGGCTCCCTCTTGTAGAGGTTACCACAGCAATTCTGCTACTACGGGAGTAGCGGTGGCTGTCACGAGATCTGTGTAAAGGATCAGTGGAACTGAGGTTCCTAGCTGCCTCAATCAAGGCTGAAAAGATAGGTAGATTATGGTTCACCAAGAAACTTTTGTAGTCGCGTATGGCGCCCTTCACACATATACTGACTAAGTGAGCCTCATCCACTGGTTCATGACAGTCAATGGCCTTATCTTGGAACCACTTAACATAGTCCAGTATATCTTCACCTTCTTTTTGGACATCCCACCCAAGTGTGAGGGTTGTAACTTTCTCTTGGACTTGGATGAACTTCGTGTGGAACTTGTTCACCATCTCCTCCCAACTCTTGATCGAGTTGGGAGCAAAGTTCACATACCAGCTGTAAGCCCTTTTAGTGAGTGATTTCGAGAACTCCCGAAGGCGTAGAGAGTGGTCACTGCCGTGGACACCAAGAGTTTCAATGAACCTCACCACATATTCTCTGGCATAGCCTTGTTTTCCATCAAACTTAATAAACTTGGGCACTGTATACCCAGTTGGATATGGCATGGTCAATATCTCCTGAGAGTATGTGGGCTTCACATATGGGTCTAGGAGAGATGACAGTTGCTTCTTGCTATGCTTTTTTTCGCGCATAGCTTGTACATCGGCTAGAGTAACAAAATTAGTGGGTTGGAATGGTCCAGTCTTGTCACGACCCAAACCCGCCCCTATAGGTTTAGCATCGTAACCGGCTAGTAATCCTTGGATTACTGAAGACCTCTTAACAATTTGACTTATAATTAGGGGTTGCAGAAGTAAATACATAAAAGAAAAATATACATAGTCCATTGAGCTGTAAAGACATACATGGGACTGATAATCTTAACTTTTATAAACATACGAATGACGTCATAGGTACAATATTTACGCGTCACCTCATGTACATATAAAAGGAAAACTTGTTCATAGAGCAAAATGAACAGTCTTATGCATTCATATTAACACAGCCACAAGACATGACTTGATCTGAAACCTCCTCGTGAGGCGCAAAAGGTGGCTAACAAACACAAAAATGCTTCAGGCATCATCTTAAGCCTGATCACGAGCCTACTCACTTACATACATAATAAATAACTAGTGAGCGGTGGCCCAGTGAATAATAACAGAGTAAAAGGGTAAATGAATGACGTCCCATAACTGTGTCTGAAACCAAAGTTCACATTTGTATTCTCATTCTAAACATGTATACAAAGATCAGAGATTCATGCTAAATCTTACATGGTGCATCTGCTAGCACTGACAGAACACATACAGAGAATCTTAAATCGTACTGGTCAGTTCTATAGAAGAACCTCCGGTCGGGTAAGGATAACTTGTCAGTTCCATAAAGAAACCTCCGGACCGGGAACTTGTAAACTTGCCAGTTCCACCTAGGAACCTCCAGCTGGGTACAGATAACTTGTCAGTTCCATAAGGAACCTCCGGTACAGGGAACTTGTAACATACTTGAATCATAGCATAATATCACTTGTAACATACTTGAATCATGGCATAATGTCATAAATGCTTGTTATTGTTGGACAATCATTCATAGTATAAAACATGACATTCCATTCAACAGATCTTATTTCATATACTGAAAATAATTTAACTTGAACATAGTTTTACTAAGTTATTACTCACAGATAACAAATGCTGCAAGTAGACAATTCAATTTCCTTGTGGCGCGTGACCTACACAGTTACAGAACGAACGTATATTGAATTACACACCCGGAAATGATAACTTAGTCCCTTCTTATTTTGGCGTGTTTCTATTTCATTAACCTCATTATGGTGTCTTAATCATGGCCTAAGAAAGCTTAGGATGGAATGAGGATGTAGAAATGCACTTAAAAACATTTTTCAAAACTTGCTGAAAACAGGGTCCACGATCGAGCGTGGCTTTCCTGGCTCGAGTGGGCATACAGAATGTGAGGGTCCGCTTGAGCGTAACTCTCTTCGCTCGAGTGGTCTGTAAATTTTGAAAAAGTATTGGTTGCTTGTTTTTCACGCTCGACGGACGCTTGGCCCCCGCTCGAGCTAGCATGAGACTCAAACCCTAACTCGAGCGTGACTTTTGTCGCTCGAGCGTTCTGCAAAACACAAGAACTTTTGAGGCTTGTATTTTATGTTCGAGCGTACTTCAGGTCGCTCAAGCGGAAGTGCATGCACTCAGAGTGGTCGCTTGAGCGTGGATTCCTGCACTGGAGCGTAGATGCAAATTCTGAAATTTCCTGATTTGATCTCCAAGTTCAAACTTAACCTTTAAGCATCAAAACTTGATTTTTCTAGGCCAAAACTTGAGAAAATACATGGAAACTCTCAAAACAACATGAATTAAAGATCATTACAAGAAATCATGGCCTAATGGCTTGCTAATTGAGAAAAATTCAACTTGAAGTGTAGGAACATGCTATAAATATGACATACATGCATAATTTGAGTTCATAGCTTCCCAAGACATGACCAAATGAAATATTCAACTCAAAAACATGGTGAATTCTTAGACCACAACCAAAATATGAACATGCATGTGAGATTTCTCATGAAAAGAACTTCAAAACTTCATGATATGGACATGCATGCATGGAATTACTTACAATTCCCAAGTTCTAACTCAATTCTTGCATAAATCAACATAATTCTCTTGAGTTCATGCATTATAGTCTAGATTTCAAGGTTTAAGGATAAAATTCTTATCTAGAGGCTTGAGATCACAAGTGTTGAAGTTGAAACTCTTAAATTCTCCTCAATTCCTCTAATTCTTGCTAGCTTGGCTTCAAATTGACTCCAATCTCTCCCCCTTCTCTCACTCTAACGGTTGTGTGTGTGTATAGGCTCAAGAATGTGTTGAATGAAGGGAAGAAAGATGAGTGGAGGCAATAGGTGCCTTATATAGGCTTCATTAATGTTGGTTTATTAAAACTAATCAAATGGGTGTTAAATTAATCCAATTTAATCGTTCCGAATCGAATTTCAAGTGAGCCTACCATAATGTTCAAAAAATTCTAAATAACACATATATCAAGCCAATTTCGTGATTGGATGCCAATAAGGCCTTCGATTTACAGAACAAAATAGAAATTCAAACAGATGTGTCTACGATGAATAGATAAAATCACAAATTATGCAATACATATGCAATTAATTCAAAATCTGGTCTTAATAACTTATTAGGCATATTAAATCATGGATTAACGTTAATCATAGGTTGGGGTTGTTATAGTCTTTCCCCCTTAAAGAGTTTGGTCCTCCAAACTCGAATTACCTTCACTTTGGAAGAATACCGGATCCAAAGGGAACAGTTTAGGGTATCTTTTTATCATATCTTCTTCTGTTCCCTAAGTTGCATAAGTTCCTCCATGATTCTGCCAATCAACCTTCACCGATGGGATTTCTTTGTTCCTTAGTCTTTTGATTCGACGATTAACAATCTGGATTGGCCTCTCCTCATAGGTATAGTCATCTTTCAAAAGTACATGTGTTGGTTCAATGACATGGAATGGATCTCTCAAATACTCTCGAAGCATAGGTACGTGAAAAACATTGTGCATATTTTCCATGATTGGGGGCAAGGCCACCCAATATGTTACTGAATTGATTTTCTCTAGCACTTCATACGGTCTGGCCTTTCACTCCAAATCGCGTTTGGCCCTTCATCGAAGTTACTTTGATGAATACGTGATCCCCGACTTCATATTCCCTGTCTCTTCTTCGGACATCAGCATAACTCTTTTGATGGCTTTGTGCATTTTTTAGGCGTTGCTGAATCAGATTCACTTTCTCAATCGTTTCTTGCACAAGTTCTGGGCCAACAGTGGCCTGTCACCTACGTCTGCCCAACATACAGGAGAACGACATTTTCTTCCATAGAGAGCTTCATAAGAAGCCATCCTAATACTTGAATGGTAGCTGTTATTGTACACAAACTCGGCTAAAAGAAGGTAGGTCTCCCAATTCCCTTGGAAGTCCAACACACATATCTACAGCATATCTTCCAAAGTCTGATTTGTTCTTTCGGATTGACCGTCTGTCTGTGGATGGCAGGCACTATTCATCCGTAATTCGGTTCCCAAAGCCTGTTGCAAACTCTGGCAGAATCTCAATGTAAACTTCGAATCTCTGTCAAATACGATAGATACTGGTACACCATGTAATCTCACAACTTCATTCACATACATGTTAGCTAACTTGTCCGCATTATAAATATTTTTAACAGGCAAAAAATGGGCAGATTTAGTCAAATGATCAATTATAACCTAGACAGAATCCATACCTCGAGAAGAGCGAGGCAATCCTATGATGAAGTCCATGGTAATGTGCTCCCATTTCCACTCTGATATTGGAAGTGGCTGTAATAAACCAGCGGGTCGTTGATGTTTAGCTTTAACTTGTTGGCAGTGTAAACATCTAGCCACAAAATCTACAATACCCTTTTTCATTCTCGGCCACCAGAAATTCTGCTTCAAATCATGATACATTTTCATATTTCCTGGATGCATAGAAAATTTAGAATTGTGAGCCTATTACGACCCAAACCTGCCCCTATAGGTTTAGAATCATAACCGGCCAGTAATCCTGGGATTACCGAAGGCCTCTGAGACAAATTAACATAATATTAGGGGCTAGCGGAAGCAAATAACAAATATACAACATCCATTGAGCTGTGCAGACTTATATGAGACAGAAAAATTTTAAACTTTTTATGTACATGTATACACATCATCTTTAGGTCATTATATATATATATACAGATTAGACAAAAAGGGGACTTAGCCCCATTTACAAAATACACAAGACTTGTTTAACCAAACAAAACAATAAAACTTAAACTTTAAATCACATAGCCATAGTCACTTGACATATCTGGAACCTCCACGGGAGGCATATAGGTTGGCTGACAAAAACAGATCCCAGGTAGATGTCTCTAAGCCTGGTCACGCGCATGATCACCTAAATACATAAATAATACAGTAAGCTATAGTCTAGTGAAGAGTAAAGGGTTTTAATGAATGATGTCCATACCAGATTCATAGATCATAATTCAGATTCATATTCATATTCTTGTTCAAATCAAATACAGAAATCAGAATTCATGCTTAATCATACATGGTACATCCATTAGTGCTAATAGAACAGATACAGAACAGATGCAGAACACATGGTGGTTATGAATAACCAGTTCCATAAAGGAACCTTCGGATCCGGGTAACAGAGAATAAACATGCTGACCCCTATGATGGAGCCTCCGGTACGGGTAACAGATGACAGACATAATAAGTTCCATAATGGAACCTCCGATACCGGGTAACAGAGAATATACATGTTGAGCTCCATGATGGAGCCTCCGGTACGGGTAACAGATGACTGACATAATAAGTTCCATAATGGAACCTCCAATACCGGGTAACAGCTAACAGATATCACATGATGCTAAGGATGCCACGAATACATTGTCAGAAATTGGACAATCATTCATTGTACATAATGTATCATTTCAGAAAATAGATCTTAATTCATCATATAGAAAATAAATAAAGTTGAATATAGTTTTACTAAGTTATTACTCATAGTGTTTTGGTACTTGATTCATCCCTGCGTTTGACCCTACAT